ACAATCAGTCCTAACAATTACATAATATATAAAATCTGAGTTACAATAAAGAAGACGATAACACAAGCTTAAAGTTATTTACAAAATCACCAATCTGATATTGACTCCAGTTGAATGAGATCAGAAAACAATCAAACTATACGCAAATAAGTAAATAAAACGAGTCATAGTCCTATTTATTATCATATCCATCCAAAAAACTTGAATGTTTAGATGGAAATTGTCCTAAATAAGTGAGCTACAGACAAATTTTCCAAATAAGGAAACTTGACTAGTGACAAGTATTTAGATTTACTAAATAACCAAATTATTCTTGAACTTTACCAAAATGGCCAGATACTAGAAAATTTGTGATTTCCACAAGATGAAGCGCTGTTCCACTATTATCGACGCTAAAAAAAATTTAAATGCGAATTTTCTTCTTTGGGGTTATCTTTATTGCAGGATTTGAAACAAATAATTATTGATGAATGTGAACTAATACATAGAGAAATCTTGGAAAGAGTGACTCACGAATTTGCCTTGCACACTGTTAGGAGGTGAACGGGCGAGTATTTTGAACATTTGAAGTAATTTTTTTAAATTATTTGTCCCATTGATCTTAGTAAATACATCTTTCATTATAAAGTGATTTATTTCTCGTTTTAACAATTTTTTTAGCAACTTGCTATGTATGAATTAGGAATAACAAGTTCTTTTAAAATTTGCAAAAATATACAGGGTGTCCCATTTAAATTAAATAAGTTAAAGGTATTTACCGTGAAACCGGAAGTAAAGTAGTAACAAAAAATATGGTGTCAGGCGTTTTATGTGTCATTGTATTTGTTTATATGTTTATGCATAGTTTCATGGATAGCGTGTTTTTTGTTTCAAATAATATTTAGTCGGTTTTATGCCTTATCCCAACCTATATATATATATATATATATATATATATATATATATATATATATATATATATATATATATATATATTTACATATTAAATATTTTATATATATATATATATTTACATATTAAATATTTTATATATATCTCGATAAATATAAAACAATTTATTGTATCTAGGTAGATACCCACAATCAAATGATTCAATTATCTTATCATGTTGTTTATCTAAATACTTATACTACTACTATAAATTATACTACTTTAAAAATATTTGATAACATTATAATCGTGGAATTTAAAATATTATAAGAGGTTACAATCAGAGATAGAAGTTAATTGGAAAAGTATTGTTCTATTAGTTTTCTTTTTCGTTGTTAAATTTATAGGTTTTTATCACGTAGTTTTATGCGTATTTTAAATTATTGAGTAAAGTTTATTTCCAAGTATATCGTCTTTAAACATGTCTTGTCTATCGACAAACAAGTATTCAAATCCAATCGGACTGTGTGGTAGGGTAGAAATTTAAAACGTGTTTATCTAATGATAATAGTTATATGCAAATAAATCTGCATACCTCAGGAGAATACCATTGGTATGAACATGAGAATTTTAAAGTCTTGTCACATTGACTTTTGACTCGGAAAATTCAATGTGCCCATTGCGCTATGTACACGATCATTGTCTATTGGATTTATTCAGCTATTTAAATGTTTGATTCTTCTATTTTTATTAATTAGGTTGCATACAAAAATTATGTTAATGCATAAAATTTTGTAGATAAAAGAGATATTACCTTGGCCAATAAAACACAGGTTGAAATCCACATCATACGACGGCTGCATTCTGATAACTACTTAGCCTCACCGCCCGATGAATTTACTATTATGTATAAACGAGAATCAAAATTGTAGGCAGTAAATTCTTAGAATAGTGACGTTTCAACGCTACTGTAGATCTTCCAATGGCGTATAAAAATTTCATAAGAATTTACGTCAAAGCTACTTGTATTGAAGAAATACCTATTTATAACATTAATCACGTTAATGTAGGTATGATTATTATTGACATATATGACAGGTTATAGTTAAACCTCCCTAAAACCGCGATCGTCGATGAAAGTCGGCAGTTCAGGAATACAGAATAGACTCACATAAACACATTGTAAATATTTTACATTCTTTGTAGTTTTTTCGACAGCGAAGACAGGAAGTCGTAAAATTTTATTACCTCTTTAGGTTTGATCACATCTAATTATTTCATTAGATTATCGAATCAGTGAACACTTATTTTAATGTTGTGAGCAATATGGAAGGTGAGAGCAGTCAATGTAAACGATGTCCAAATTTTTCTATTGGAGAAAAGACTATTATATACAACGCATTGTATTGTGTACTCCGTGAAAGGAATAAAAGTACGTTGGTCAACGATCTAGTTACTCTGAGTATGATTTGACTAAAGCGTCGATGAGAATTATATACAGAATTCTAAAAATTTTAAACAAAGTGTTTAAAACAAGATGAAATTCCACGGATTCTTTTTTCGGAACAAAATCCCAACCTCAAAGAAAGTCGAAATAAATTCCGATGATTCAATACCCAAAATATTATGACGTGTTTTATTGCGAACATTAGGGCAAATGAACATCAAATATATGAAAAGAAGCAGGAAGAGTGTTCTTATAGAAATGAAATTATCTTGTGGCGGGAGACATTACTTACAAAAAATTCGAAAGGATTGTCGTGAAGGACGAAAAGTGTACTATTTAGATGAAACTTGGCTGAATCAAGGTCATACTGTCTCAAAGGTGTGGCAAAATTTTGAAATTAAAAGTCGTCGATAAGCCTTTATTGAAGGGTTTTCAACGAGTTTAAAAACACCAGTTGGTAAAGGACAGAGGCTCATAATAACACATATAGGCAAAGATTCGGATTTTTTGGACAACGGCTTGTTATTATTGGTTTTCAAAGAAGACCAAACTTTGAAGTAAATTCTGTCGTTGTTATGGACAATGCGTCAAACCACAGTCGACGGTTGGGGCCAACCCAAGTGTCTAACGAAAACGTGACATCATCTGCCTCCCTCAAAAAATATACATCGCCTTCCTTCTTATCACTGTGAGCTGAACCCTATCGATTTTAAATGGGCTCAAATAAAAAACAAGTGGCAAGAGAAAACTTGAGTTTTAAAATGGAGGAGGTAAAAAACTGGTTAGTTTCTGCCATAAAAAATGTCACATCTGAGTCTTGGAAAAATTGTATAAACCACTGTAAAAGACAAAGAGTGAATGTGGGATTTAGACACAAGAGTCGATATTTCGGTTGAAACATTATCAATGTAAATAGTAGTGATCGCGATAGATCTTCACCATCAGACGAGTTGTCCTCATACGAAGATTAATATTTTGACTTCCTGTGAAGGTTCAACTATTTTACCAAGATTACTTTCGTATATAAGTAAGTTTATTATGTTTGATGTTAATACATTTTATTAGATACCTTAACGAAACGATCATTAATCTATGATAATTTTGCTGCATGTGAATGATTAAAATATAAATTGCTAGAATATCTATCTTCACAAACTGGCAACGATGTCGTCGCTTTTTCGCATTCACATTTCTGAGAATCTACTGCCTACAAATTTGATTCTAAATTATAGTATATTCTCCTAGACGGCTGATCTCGAAATTTCAGACGAATCATACTCATATTTTGTTTTGACAGCGGAATAGGCCGTGTCCGCGGATTTTAGAAAAATGGAAAAGGTGTAATATTGGTTGGTGATTCTACTCTTGTTTTTGGAAGAGAAATCGCCTAGTGAAATCAAAGAACACTTGGATGCCATATACGGTGACTATTCTCTTCGATGGTAACCGTCAAAAATTGGTTTAATGAGGTTCATCGTGGTCGCACGTTGGTTTTTGATTAACCACACCCAACTTCCTTAAAAAATGGTTACCAACGAGAATAACGTGGCAAAGATCCACGATTTGGTATTAGTAGTGTCAATTGAAAGTGTGTGGGTACCGCGTTTGCTCACTTCGGACAACTAGCGTAACCGTGAAACCACTTCAGAGCAGTGTTTGATGCTGCCCCATTTGGGCACAAAAATGTGCTTTTCCAGCATCACAATGCACCGGCTCAAATCTCCCCCATCGCCACGGCCAAATTGGTCGAATTGGGCTACGAGCTACTGCCCCGTCCTCCGTATTCCCCAGATTTTGCCTCATGTGACTTCTTTTTGTTTAAAAACTTTGAGTCGAATGAAAAGATCATCGCCACCATGAAGACCTACTTTGCATTCTTCAAGAAAACGTATTTTTTGGACGAGTTAAAGAAGTCAGGGCATCGCAGGGTGAAGTTTATCGAGTTAAAAGACCATGTTGAGAAATAAATCGCCACCTTTCCAAAATTTTAGATTTTTTTTGTAGGTTAAGTAGTTATCAGACCGCATTCGTACGTACAAAACATAAAAGTTCCAGTCATGGACAGCAGGTTATCTAAAATCTATATGATCAAATTATTTGTTAGTCACAATTATTTACCTGTAAGACAGTAAAAGAGTTGTAGTGCTACTAATCATGAAGACAGTTCATAAAATAGCAGAGAAAACTTATTGATATTAATATGAAGTATTATAAAGAAATATCCGAAAGTGAGACAGCTGATTAGCTTTTAAAAGATAAGCCAAATATGTGCTAATTTTTTTAACGATCAATAAAATTGCAGATTACTAATATATTATACCATCTGGATCTATGAAGATTTTCGCTGCCGAAACAATTTACAGATTGGAACACCTTCCAGTTCAAAATGAAAAGAAAGTATGACATTATGTAATTTATTATACAATCGTATATGACACTAATCTGCAGTTTCCTCAATAAACATATTATTTACCTTTCAACGAAGAAGTGTTTCAATTCCATTTATATTTAACATTTTATTGTAATTGACATTTGTACATTGTACAGATTAGACTTCCATTCTTTCTTATAGAAATGATAAAAATAGGACTATACACGTTCCACTGAACTAAAACCTGAAGCATTTTAAAAGACTCATTGAAAGAGTTAAATCAATATGCAAAATTATTCTAAATCCAATATTCGAAAAAAATAAATTTATTTTTAGCGACATCACAATTCTCCGTTTCCGCTATCGTTGTCATCTTCTTCTGGATATTCAGAACCATCTGAAGGATCATCGTACTCCTCATCGTAGTCATCGTCGTAAAAGTCAGTCATTTCTATTTGGGGTTCGGAACTATTAGGTTTCACTTGTGTTTTGATGCAATAATCTTCCAGAGTTAAGGGAACTTTTAAGCCATCCCTTTCTGCTTCAGCTCGGGCAGCCATAGCTTGTTTTCTAAAAAAATAAGTCGTTATTAAATAAGTAATCAGCATAAAATTGATACTAACATGTTTACAAATACAAATCTATTAAAATAAAAGTATTGTATTTAAACTAAAGTTGCAATAAGATGTTTCACAGATATAGACACATTTTTATGTAAATATATATTTTTTTACATTAGTTTGTCACGGGCCCTTTTTTCACATATAATAAGAAAATCTTTATTTGGCAAATGACGTAAAAAATAAACATTAAAAGAAGTTATAAAAAACAAGAAAGTTATACAGAAACTTATTCTAGTATCCAGCATATCCATTGTTCATCTTCTTGGGACAAAAACGAAAATAGATCTCTCACGTCTTTTTCCTTCGCCGGCTTTATTCCAACCACTGGGCAGTTTGAAGAGCTATGTTTGTGTGTATGTTTCTTCCTTTCCAAATTGTGAATGGTATGTAATTTTCCATGTATGTTTAAGAACAAGCCAATGTTCTGTCTTGGCAATCAAATCTAAAAAAACTACGTACAACATCTGGGAATGCTTATTTGATCAATAAATGCTGTCGGCTATAGCCAACTATATAAATATAAAAATTGAAAACGAGTCTTCAATTTTAACAGGGATAGGGACGCAAAACCTACAAACACTCTGAAATAAAGGCGCTAATTGATATTCACTACCTTTCTGGAGTAAGAGAGGCCAATAATATGAACTTGAAAGATCTTTAGAGAACCGATGGCAGTTGCGTTGAAGCCTTTCAACTTATTATGAATAAAATGAGATTTCAATACCTTATGAGAGATGTATTCGATTTGATGATATTCGAACTAGGCATGAACAATTTCAGTTAAACAAATTGGCTTCACTGAGAGAACTGATGGATAAGTTCAATTCAAATCACAAACAATGCTATTTACATTCTTGATGCGTTACAACAGATAAAAAACTTATAGCATTTCGCAGAAAATGCAGCTTCGGATAATATATCTCTTTCAAGCCGAAGTAGCATGTATGTAATTAAAATGTTCGCAATATCTGATGCCAAATTATTTTATACCAACCACTTATAATAAGTGTATGTGGGTAAAAAACTATATGGGTCCTTCCAAATAGATATCAGTTGTAGAAAGATTTTCTTAGCATATAAGTGGCACCAACAGAAATATATCCACAGATAACTGGTTCACTAGTATAAAGCTTGAAGACAGATAGCCTAAAATCAAATAATTTAACACCTCCCTTTGGAATTTACTATAAATTAAAGTCGGCCCATCGGCTTCTCGATGTTTGGTAATGGGGCAACAGATGCTTCTTACATACCAAAGAAAAATCGAAATGTTCTACTAATATCTACTATGCATTATAGACATGGCATTGATACATACATTGGTACATCTGAAAAACCAAAAATGATTTTGTTGTTTAACCAAACAAAGGAGATGAAGATATGGCAGATAAATTATGCGCTTAATATAATATTATGCTCGTGCTACTCGACGATGCCAAATTGGTACCTTTTTCTACTGATGCTACCAATGTCCCTTGTGAATGCATATCAAAGAGCAAATGGCAAGAAATCTATGGTTTGGAACCAGAACAATGACAGTGGTGCCCGGGCCATTAGCAGCTGTAATTTGTGTGACTGGAAAAAGAACAGAAAAACGAAGTACTTTTGTCATCATTGTGGAAAATATCATCATCAATATGTTTACAACGCGTAAATGCTACTGTGCTACCTGTGTTGCAAATTTGCAACACAGAATACGCCACAAAATCTGAATACGTATATTCAGATTTTGTGGTGTTTTATGACACATATGTTTATACTTTTTTATTTTAGCTTTTTGTTAGTGAAACATTCCATTTTTTTATTAAATTAATGCATTAACGTGAAGAGAAATACGTCCCTATAAAGGTTGGTTTTTTTTCTTATCAATAAAATTATATAAAAGTTGTTTGTGTTTCTATTTAGTTAACATGATAGCACAATAAACAAAAAATGACAAAGATTAAAATTACGTAAGTTAGAAACTACAAAAAGCGAACCCGGAATTCCTAAGCCATGTGCGCGCACTTACGTCCTAAATTTTGCTGCGAGTAATGGAAGATTAAACACATAATTGAAGAAAACGCCAACAATCATATTAAATGGGTCCCTAAGTTCATTCAATAGTTTTCATTATGCTATAAAATATTTTCTATTACATATTAGGAAATTCAAAAATGTTGTTGGATTAATAAAAACTTCTAAAATTCACGCTGCGCTTTTATTTCTGTTGTCTAAAATTTAATTTTCTTATCAATCTAACGTTGGACCAACTGATATGGGAAGGGGCTTGTATACAGTAAATATTACTTTTTCATTTTTGTTATACAGCAGACTCTCGATTATCCGAGCCTTGGTTATCCGAGCCCCTCGGTTAACCGAGGCAAAATTTTGCCTCGGGTTTACTTTTATAGCCGTACTTGTTGAATCACAATATCGAGTAATAAAAAAAGGGTCGATGGTCACAAGTTATATCGGCAGCTGTTATATGGGCAATCCATTGAAAATTGTGGATTATTGATAAGAAGATAATTGTGTTTAGGTCAAGGTGATGTCGAGTTGGTATTCTCAGAAATTGGTCACCGCCTTATTTCCAGAAATTTCTGTGTCGTGTTTTGTCTACAACTTCCTGTTACTTTCTATGTTAATCAGTGTGAATTGAACTACCGATTTGTTTGTTGTCGTTCAGATCGTCAAATTATTTGTTTGCTGCCGTTCAGATCGTTAAATTAAGTCAAATTACTGTACGGTGAAATTTTTGCTTTTATGTACTGTTTTGTGTATTTATTCGAGTTTATAAGTTTAAGTTTCATAATTAATTTTTCATAAGTTGATTTTTGTGAGTGTAAGAGAGCATCTTTCTGTGCAATATGAGTGAAAAGCGGAAGAGAGTAGTTGTATCTTTAGAAACAAAAGTGAATGCAATTAAGAGGTTGGACAAGGGTGAATCAATAAAGAAGGTTGCTTCAGATTTAGGTGTCGGAGAAGTAACTGTTGGAGATTGGAAGCGTAAGCGGAATAAAATAGAACAGTGGGTTAACCGAAGTGTGAGTGGTGGTAGTGGATTGGCCCGGAAGACTATGAAGAAAGGGGACTATGAACAAACTTCTGAGGCATTGTTCTTGTGGTTTTCACAAATGAGAGGATTGGGCAGTCCGATAAGTGGTCCAATACTCCAAGCAAAAGCTATCGAATTCCAGAAGAAGTTTATGGATGGAGGAGAAAACTTTTGTGCTAGTGAAGGATGGATTGACTTATGGAAAAAGAAATATGGCATCCGACAATTGAATATTTGTGGCGAAAAACTTTCTGCTGACTCAACCGAAATTGGAACATTTTATTTAAAATTACAAGACATTATCCTTAAAGATGGACTAACTTCAGACCAAATATTTAACTGTGATGAGACAGGCCTTAACTTTAAAATGCTTCCATCGAAAACACTAGCTGCTAAAAATGAAGAAACTGCACCAGGTTACAAAAAAAGCAAAGAGAGAGTCACAATCATGATTTGCAACAATGCTTCTGGTTCATTAAAATTAAAACCTCTTTTAATCGGAAAATCCAGAAATCCAAGAGCATTCAAAAACGTCCAAATAAATTGCTTACCTACAATCTATAGCAACCAACGCAATGCATGGATGGACTGTAACACTTTTAAGGACTGGTTTTTAATGACTTTGTGCCAGTTATTGATGCCTACCTAATAAACAAAAATCTGCCTCGGGAAGCTTTGTTGTTGTTGGACAACGCACGATCCCACCCAGATGCGAGTGAATTGATTAGTGGTGACATACGAGCTGTGTTCCTTCCACCCAATGTGACGTCTCTCACCTAGACCAAGGCGTTATAGAAGCAATGAAGAGGAATTATCGGCGCAAGCTCCTTCAGGTACTGCTAACTAAGCTGGATGAAGGGCTGACTGTAACTGAGACATTGAAGAAAATCACGGTTAAAGATGTTTGCTATTGGATTGCATCTGCTTGGACGATGTAAAAGTGTCCACTATTCAGAAGTCGTGGAAAAAATTATTTAAGATAAACAACAAAACACAAGACGTTCAAAATGAAACTGATGACTGTAAAGTTGATTATATAACCAACCTAGCTAATCAATTACCAGTAGAACAACCAATCGGAAACCAAGACATCATCGATTGGATGAATCTAGATGAAGAAATGGAACTGACAGATGATGCAATTGCCAATCTAGTTCTAAACGTCACTCATGAAGAATATGAAGAAGATACAGATGAGATAACTCATTCAATCAAATTTCTCATTCCGATGGATTGAAGTCCCTTGAAGCAGCCCTCGCATACATCGAGCAACAAGAAGAATCGACACCATTAGACGTGCTCAATTTTCAACGTTGGCGCAACATCGCCGCCTCAAAAAGAGGAATGAAGTTAAAACAAAAATCAATCAAAGACTTTTTTAAACAATAACATTTATAAGGTAAATTGTTTTATCTTTTATACTACTTTTATATTAGTTTTTAATTATTAAATTAAACACATTAATCATTATTTGCGTAGGTACACATTTTTTTATCAGTACATATAACCAATCTATGTTAACCGAGTTTTTTCGGTATCCGAGGTAGTCCCGGTCCCAATTACCTCGGATAATCGAGAGTCTACTGTACTTTTAAATGTGTCGAAAAGCCATAAGCATAATTAATAGGATACATATTTTTTTCACGTAAAACAAAAAATAAATTTCGTTAAGTTACTACCTACATTATATTACATACAAACTTCATGCCTGCGAATAAATTACGGATCCATGTTTATTTTCCAGATAAAAATGCAAATCCAAGACAAATACGTTGTTAATTGCAGCATGTAATGCGAAAATTTACTGGCAAACAACATTAAAATACTGATATACTGTTGTTATTTTTGAGGAAGAGAAGGAGTTAATATTATATAAATGATTTAATGTTGAATAAAATATTAATTATATGTACATCTCTACAAATTATTCTTGACTACATTTATTTTTTTCAATGTTTAGTTTCATTTCATTTATTGTAGGAAAAATCTTCAAAAGTCACTATTTCTTTCGTTACCTGATTACAGCGACTATGAAAAACAATCAAATAAATTTAACTTTCCAAATAAATTTATTAAAAAAGTCCGATTTAATCAACTTAACAAATCTGAGTACGAAATCCTAGTATTAAGATAAAACAAAGCAAGAAAGGCTCTGGAACAAAACACGTCTCTCCAAAATTAACGCACCACCTCAAATGTACCATGAATTCGAAGCTATTTTTCTTCTGAACCCTTTAATTGAATTTCGATGATTTTTTTTCGCATTGTAGGTATATTTTAAATTACTTTATTACTATTTTCTGGGAAATGTCAATAAAGTTGTATTTTTTTCATCTTATTTTGTAACACCATGTGGAATTTATTAGAAATAAACGCTACATTTTTATTAATATTGCGAGGTATATGAAAATAAGCACGCAACCACAAATCCTACGGGCACTTGTTATAGAAAACGACGTCGTCGAATCAGTGAGCGAATATGTATACCTGGGAGCGCTCGTTAATACTGAAAATAATACTACCGCAGAGATAAACTGCAGAATTTGCACGGCCAACAGAAGCTATTTTGGGCTCAACCTCGTTAAATCCTCAAATATGTCGGGAAATACAAAGGTAAACTATACAAAACAATAATACACCCAGTCCTAACATAAAGTTCATAGACCTGGAACAAAAAGTAATAAAAAATTGTATTATATTTCGAAAGAAAAGCACTAAGGCAAATCAGTATTCATATATCAGTAAGTACTAAGATATCACGTCTGGGGTGGATAGGTTATGTAATATGGATGTAACATTGGTCAGAGAAGAAGAGGAAGACCCATAACAAGATTCCTTGATAACATCGATGAAGACATGAGAAATATGGGAATACCTGCTTGGCGGAGAAAGGCGATGGATAGAGACGACCGGAGAGAAATACTTAAGTTCGCTAGGACCGACGCAGGGTTGTCAGCCAGAATGTTAATGAAATTTTCATATCTTGTCCCCTCTTTAATGACAGAGTGGAGGTTACCCAGGGAAGGGCACTATGCTCGGGCTTCAGTCTGGTAGAGGTTCTTAGCAGCTCAAATACAAAGAATTAGTTAGTGGAGTACTGAAGATAAGGAGAAGAGAAGTTAGAAAATAAAGAAAAGGGAAATAATTGGGCACCACCCAGTGGCGGTCTCAAGGGGGGGCGATCGCCCCCCCCCCCCAGAAACCTTAATTTTCTGAAAAATTGAGAAGTTAATATACATATTAATCTCAGAAGTGTGAGATCGAACTAATGCATTGCTATTATTGGACAAAATAATCTAACAGTGTGAAAACGTCCGTAGACAAATTATTTTAATAGCCTACGGTTAGTTTTGATATAACGTAACAAACAAGCGTTTACCTAGAAATTCTCAGCGGGCGTCCCGACACAGGAGCGCGTGCGCCAAAACCATTTGGAATTTTAAACCTCGACAATTTGACGACAATCTTCTTCAGTCAGACGTTGCTTGCTAGCTTTGCTAGTTGCTACGCTACATATTCAATATTGGCCGTGTATCAATGCCTGGCAAAGTAAAAGGGCTAATAAGTGTCAGTTTGCTCAAGCGTTTCCTTTTCCATGCGCAACTGCAAAAAACGACATCGACATGGTAAGTTTGTTTTAATTATGTCCTTAACTCATTCGTATTTATATCAAGAAATCAAACAGGAAGCCAAATTTGCCGTTAGAGCTCCTTGTTTCAATCACAGTTTAAATCTATCACTGTCCAAATCATCTCAAGTTCAGGCTGTTAGAAATGCAACGGGTACCATGCAACAAACAGTTTCGTTCTTCACGTCTTCCTCAAAGAGAAATCAAGTTTTGAAACACTATGTAGGTGGCCAGCTACCTGGATTGTGTGAAACACGTTGGGTGGAAAGGCAAACATCGTTTTTACAATTAAGACTTAATTTCCCTGAAATCATTCAAGCTCTGGAATCAGTAGCTTCATAGCAAGATTTAAAAGCTGCATCCAAGGCGAGAACCTTGATTTGTGCCTTACTGAACAGTACTTTCCTTATCACTGTAGTGTGTATGTGCAACATATTTTCACTTACACTGCCTTTTAGCAAGCTACTTCAAAAACCTGATATTGACTTGAAATGTGCATTGAAACATTTTACGGACATGACCAAAGCACTTGCCAATCAACGGAACACAGCGATTGTTTGCTTTAAAGATTTGTTCCAAGAAGCAAAGGACATCGCCGAGAAGACAAATTTTAATATTAGTATTCCAAGAATATCACAAGTGCAGAAGAATCGAGCCAACCACGCAATTAAAGACCCAGAGACATACTTTAGAGTATCAGTGTTCCTTCCCATTCTAGACTCTGTAATAGAAGACACAAAGTCTCGTTTTCCTGAAGAAACACTGGAGTTGTACAATCTTCACGTATGCATGCCTGAATACCTGATAACCAACTCTGTTCAGGACATGTCTGAAAAAATTGAGTGTTTAGTAAGGAGGTACAGTGAACTTTTTGATATGTCTCAAGCTGAAATGAAATGCTTATTGAAAGGTGAACTACAGCTTTGGGAAATGCAATGGAAAGACACGGACGAACTTCCAAAAACAGCGCTGGACGCGTTAGACAGTTGTAACGGAGATTTGTTCCCTACAGTCAGCAAGCTACTTCTAGTCTTAGCTACACTTCCCATCAGCAATGCTTCTGCAGAGCGTAGCTTTCAATCTCTAAAGAGAATAAAGTCGTGGCTAAGAACACGGATGCGTCAAGACAGGTTGACTGGACTTGCTCTAATCCATGCCCATCCAGACATCCCTGTAGACCCAACGAAAGTTTTAGAACGATTCGCCAAAAGTGGCCATCGAAGACTTGAATTCGATTTGTAATTACATTCTTTTTAAAACCTTATAACTTGTTATTTTATTACTTATAACCTAATAAAACTATTACAATGTATAATGTGAACCTCCCTTTTTCCATTCTAATAGACTAATTTGTATTGTATATTTATTGTAAATTTTAACATTTTAAAAGGTAAAATGTGTTTTGAGCTCTTTCAATTCAAGCGTAAAACTAACATTGTCAGACCAAACCCCTGAAATTTGACGTTTGTTCGTGATAACTTAAAACCACCTAAATCGTCAAATGTCTAGAAAGATGAGACTTGCTTCAGAGGCTTGCCATTGAAAAATACTATCACCCACAAACCTTTTCTATTAGACTTTGAGTTGTTTTCAATAGTTCTAAATTGGTTTTTGATACAATCACAAGAATACAAAATATATTTTGAATATTTTATTTGTAAGTTAGCAGAACAATATTTACAACAAGCTTTAGAGGCTAGCTTTTTTATTTTTTATTATAGTGTAAAACTGTTTCCACTGTAATTGTAATAATAATAAGTGATTTTCCTTTTTCTCCGTTCGTCACAACCACTAAGTGACAGTCAGTCCATATTCGGTCCATCCTTCAAATGAATAAAATGCCTTTAAAACTCAAAATCTTGCCATATTTTTACAAATTTTCCGGACCCCCTTTCCGGATGGGGGGCTGCACCCCCAGACCCCCCTGCAACAGACCATCGCCCCTCCCAAAATATGACTCTGAGACCGCCACTGGCCACCACCCTATTTTTAAAGGAACAGTGAAACCTACGACATATAAAATAAGATAACGAGAAAGGTAAGGTACGGTTAAGATAATTACGTGAGAGAAAAGTTATTATGATTTCGAGGTACACACTTAATATTTCGCCACATATACATTGTTTATATAATAAACCAAATCGTAATATCAATCAATAACAATGTCTGAAAGAGATACACCATGCATATAAAATAAATATATACATAATAAAAAAAATAAAAGGCAAATTTATTAAAAATCCTTTGTAAAAGGTATATATTTGGAACCCAAACGGGCTAAGTTAAAAAGACAAAACGTTTTCGGAATCCATATTCCATCATCAGTGTCTAAGAGTACATGAATGTAGCCACTAAATATATGGGTAAAAACCCGTTAACAAATAATTAATTACATTTAGTATACCAAATTTTCTTATAATGGTTTAAGATGTTAAAGTTACCGTTGAATTAGGTAACATGGCGACATATGACTCCACGTTGAAGTTGCTAGTCTTGAGACAGTGTGTCTACGAAGACTGTATGGGAGCAACTCCCTTAGAGACATTAAAAAAAAGTGGAAACACCCCGAAATTTATTATTAATGAAATTTTGACTTCGAATGATTTTGAAGGAGAAGTTTATCGAAAAATTGTAACAAACCTTTTTTGTAAAGCGTTCAATAATATACAAGAATATCCCATGACTCTATTAGTGTGACTATCGGTTAATAAGTAACAAAATTCTAAAGATTAAAAAAATCCTGTGTTAATTAAAAGATTGCGACGCGGTATTATTTTAATATTAAAAGCACTCCTGTTCATAAGGTCATTTTTTCGACATTCTGAACAATATTTGGTAAGAATACACTGTATACTTACCTAATAATATTTTCATATTCTTTATCCTTTCCTTTTGAATCACGCCAACGGCGATACATTACGGACGCATCTACATTGGCAGGACTGAAGGTATTCGGTTCGTTTAGGAGAGAAATTACTGATAATAAAATCGTACGCACGTTCTGTGTAGGATTCCAGCGCTCGCAGGGTAGTTCGCCCGATTGTGGATCATCTATTGGGGGATGGAGAATACTAATGCATAAATCACCATTCTAAAAACAGTGTAAAAGTAGAAAAAAATACTATGATTAATATGTAAATAGCATAGAAGATTAATGGCATTTTTACAAATTCTTTCGGGATTAATGAAAAATTTCACCATTAGTTAGTTTCAAATCTATATTAGAACACGTCTCCCCTATATGTTTCCATTATGGCCAACCTGGTGCTACTTGCCATCAATTTACATTACATACGACATGCACAGTGCGTTGACAGTCCTCATCTGCTATGCGTAGCTTGTAGCATTTTTAAGTTCTTTGGTATATATTGATATAATAAACACATTTTAAAGTTTGTTTATATATCACAGATGCATATTCTTTGGTATTTTCTTTGATCGTTTTCCGCTTAATATTGCTTTTTAAGTAAACATCCATTTAGATCGCTGAGAAAGTATTGCGGGGAAGAGAATTACACCACTCTTGGTAAGGTCGGCCGCTGTTAAAGGCCGGCTATGGTCGCATAAAGGTTACATAAGAATAGGCTATGGTCGCTAACTACATCTGCTGAGTTGAGGCATCTTACGTCCATTATTTTTGATGGATGTATATCACTGTTGGTTATAATATAATCTATCATACATCTATGCCACGGGTGTTATTAAATGATATTTGTGTTGGTCTTTGTGGTCAAAAAATGTGTTGTTTATTCTTAGTTCGATATTCGTGCAGAAGTTGATCAACAGTTCTCCATTTTCGTTTTTAATATGCTCGTTATGTTTTTATTTGATGCCGGGTATTACCTGGTTGCCTATTCGAGCGTTAAAATCCTCCAATATTATCATCTTTCCTCTGACTTGATCTACTACTTTGTTGTAATTGGTCGTAAAACGCTTCCCTTGTTGTTTGCGCCTTGATTTTCTGGGCCGTATACGAGTACTCCGATGATGTTCAGGTCTTTCTTCTCCATTCTTATCTCTGCTGTTACTATTCTTTCTGATATGTATTGACACTCTTTGATGTGGTTTTGGTGTAATAGTAAGGCTACACCTTCTTTGGCCCTGTTTTCTTTTGCTACTCCACTATAGATTAGTATGCCTAATTTTGATTGACCTTTTTCTTTCTTTTTTGTTTCCTGTAGAGTACAAATGTCTATTTCTTTCTCTTTCAGCACTTGGGTTATTTCTTGGTCCCTTGAGTTGAGTGATCTGATATTCCAAGTAGTAATTCTCATCTGGGTTTTGGAAGTTTTTCGCTTGTCCTTATTTCTTGCCGTAGTCGTCTTCATAGTATCAATCCGGTGCCGAGGCTGTACATTGTTTCTTTGGGCAGTATTTGTTTTTACGATTATTAGGTTGCTAACTTTGGCAATCACCCTCCACATTTTATCCGGGCTTGGGACCGGCTGTGGTAACTGCAGAGCTACTGAATCCACCTCGCAATCACCCCAAGCACCAATTTAATATAACCGCCAAAAAATTTAACATGTTAATTTCCCCAACAAAGACAAAATGCATAGTTACAACAGCAAATTTACTATGATGTAAATTGGAGCTGGAAGGTCAGATAATAGAACAAGTGATGGAGTTTAAATATCTAAGCATCATATTATCTAGCAACGGAAAGCTCGAAACCGAAGTGGAAGATCAAGTGAATAGAGCAAACAGAGCCGCAGGCTGCCTAAATGAAACAATATGGAGAAATAAAAATATCGGGAAGGAAACGAAAGGCAGAATTTATAGAACAGTCATCAGACCAATAATGGCATACGCGGCAGAAACAAGACCTAATACAGAGAGGACAAAAAGGATGTTAGAAACAGCAGAGATGAAAACACTTAGAAAAATTGATAGTAAGACACTATGAGACAGAGCTAGAAGTACAGATATACGACGTAGATGCAAGGTGGAGAACATCAAGAACTGAGTAAGAAAAAGAAGGATAGAATGGAACAATCATATAAACCGAATGACAACAAATAGAGTAGTAAAGATGCCAAGAGACGGTTCCCCAATGGGAAGACGATCAGTAGGAAGACCACGAAAACAATGTAATGAAAACTGACTGAAGGCACACTGAAATACAGACAGTCATGTCTATATAAAAAGAAAAAAAAACATTTGGAAACATATCTCGTATATCTATTTTTATCAATTTTATATACCATCCCATTAACTGCCTTTAAAAATTTACTGTATAATATATTCTTTATGAATCATTTAATAAAATTATTCGATTGTCTTATCACGTTTAAAATTAACTTACTTCATAAACATTTGGATGCCAAACTTTCGTTAAAAATCTAATTGACGGTGGTGAATATGGATAGTCTGTGGGGAATTTCATTCTAGCCTGAAATAAAAAAAAAAGTTTTAAAAATAAAGATAGTAAAATTATTTGTTGATAACGAATATGCTTATTTATAGAATGTATTATATTAATAGCTCAGGATATGGTCCAAGTATTTCTCGCCAATTAACAGCAATTTATACTTAATAAGTCATTGTAAGACTGACTGGTAGCTTCTAGCGCGCAAGAGACAATAGAATATGAAACACTAATGGTTGAAGATTTAATAGATAACTACAATTCCCCGGCTAGAACATAAATTTAGATAATTTCGATAATTAAGATAATTTTTTTTAACTACTTTATAAATTATTTACTATACCGATATATGTTTGAAGAAAATATTAACAACCTTAATCTATAAAATAATATAATTTGGTTAACAATAGTCCTTAGAGAAGGACAAATACCGAAGACATGGAAAAATGCGGAAGTCATTCTACTCCATAAAAAAGGGGACGCCGAAAATATAGAAAACTACCGACCCATAAGCTTATTGTCACACCTTTACAAACTACTAACCCGAATAATAACAAATAGATTGACAGCTAAACTAGATGCATACCAACCAGTGGAGCAAGCAGGCTTTCGTAAGGGTTTTAGCACTATCGATCACTTGCAAACAATTCGGACCATTATTGAAAAAACAATAGAGTACAACATACCACTACATCTAGCATTTGTCGATTATCACAAAGCATAAGCAACAGCCTAGAAAACATCACGATAGATAACATCAATATAGAAAAGGTAGAACAATATATATATCTAGGACATGCAATTAAAAACGAAAAGGAAAATCAAACCCTAGAAATTAAAAGAAGGACACAATTATCATGGGCTGCTTTTGGTAAGTTGAGCTTCATTTTAAAAGACAGAAAAATCCCAATTCACTTAAAACGAAAAACCTATGACACTTGTATACTACCAGTTGCAACTTATGGATTGGAAACTATGGCAATAACAAGAAAAATGGCAGAACAATTAAGAGTAACTCAACGGGCCATGGAGAGGGCCATGTTAAATATAAGCCTCAGAGACAAAATTCCTAACACCGAAATACGTCGAAGAACTAAAGTAACCGACATCATGGAAAAAATAGCGACATTGAGATGGCAATGGGTAGCACATGTAGCAAGACAAGACACCAACAGATGGTCTCATAAAGTGACATTCTGGAGACCTCGAGAAACAAAAAGAAGCGTGGGAAGACCTAGAAAAAGATGGATAGCCGATATAACTGCTGTAGCTGGAAAGCAGTGGATGAGAATTGCTAAAGATAGGGAAGCGTGGAAGCAATTTGAGGAGGCCTTTGTCCAACATTGGATAAATGAAGGCTGAAGAAGAAGTCCTTAGAGCCTAAGATTCTAATGCAGAATCACTACGTTCATAACGTCAAACTCATATTTTTACATACATTTAAAATTAGGAGAAAACATTGATAATTGCCAGTCAAAAAGTGGCCGAAAATATTTAATTTTTGACAAAAAATTTATTTCGTTAATTTATTATTTAAATAAAATACGCCGCTCATGACGTATATGCATGTTTATATCAAATTAAAGTTAAGTTTTTTCTTAATATGAGGATATAAGTTTTCCTAAGAAAAATGGTCGAAAATTAGAGTTGCCAGATGTTAAAAAAGCGATGTATCAAAAATAAAATAAAAGACAGCTAGCGCGCAACGCAACTGGTTTGAAGTGTCAGTTGTGAGTTTTTAAAGTATGCGTCGATAGATATAATATAGATAACCTGTAAATCTATGGAAATTGGTCAAAATTACAATATTTTTAAATTATACATGAAATCGAAATAAAATTTGGCAAGTTAAATCAATCAATCAATCAGATTATAACGTTCTATTCCGTCTTCTGATTTCCAGTCTCCATTTATCTCGGTCGTTTTAAAGGTTTCTTTAACTCCCCTCTTACTAAGGCCTTTATTTTGAATGTGAAGAATTTTAAATTTGTCATTAAAAGAATAATTATGATCTAGAAGGTGAAGTGCGTATGTCGAATCTGTTTTTCTATTCTTGAAAGCCCTTTTATGTTCTGCTATTCGTTTATCAAAGTTTCTACCAGTTTGACCGATGTAAGTTTTTGGGCAGTCGCCACATTGAAGTTTGTACACACCACTATTTAAGTGTTTTTTATTTTGGCTCTTGTTATTTTTAATATATTTGCCTAGGTTGTTATTTGTTCGGAAAGCTGGTGTTATTCCTTTCTTTTTTATGTGTTTGGTAATTTTTGTTGTTATTTTGCCTGTATATGCAATCGAGCAGAAGCTACTGGGTTTTTTCTCTGGTGGTGGAAATACTAATTTCAAAGCTTTCTTGTGTAGTTTTTGATTTAACACATGAATTGTGTATAGTCGTGTCAGTATGGGTAGGTTTATGAAATATGGAGAAGTCGTGTTTGTTTTGAAGTCAAGAAGAAATGGTCGAAACTAATTACAAAGAATTTGTTTTTTCTGTCTAAAAATATGGTTTATAGTAGATTTGAGGATAATTGAAAAGTCATGATAGTATATAGTAAAAAGGGGTGCAATTATAGTATGTCTACTATAATTATAGTATGGTTGCTAACACTGGCTCCCAACTGTCTTTGTTGCTTTAAGTTGTGAAATTATAGTGTATGTGTTCTGACTAACTAACTGTGGCAGTCAGGTGTAATAAATATTTAGGCCGAATTGAGGTCGTTTTAAGCAATCTTGCGAACAAAGATTCCGCTTGAAATATTGAAGGAGTATTTTCGTAGTCCGTTGAAAGTCTAGTTAGGACCATTATCCCGTATTCCCACTCCCTCATGTGTATCTGATCGATCACTATAATAAGGAAATGATTTGCGCGACTTAATTTTGTGTTAAGACTAGTTTATGATGACATTGAATGAGAGTAATCTTGTTTTGCGACCATAATATTTGTGGACATTATGGCTGCGTTATTTATGGATTACTTTGTTCCAACTCTTAGTATCTCCATATGTCCAGTCAGGTCACCGAGTTTTAGATACTTGTCATCTGTTAGCTTTGAATTAAATTAGGACACGTTTTAACTTTTGTTTTTGATCATTTCGCTAAAGAGAAATCTTATTATATCTACACTAATTAAAATTATTTTATCGTATATTAATTAGACATTATATACTTTTTAAAACCCAATTAAAATTTATGTATACAGTGTGTCAATTTTAAAACTTACAATGGGCCATAACTCACGAACAAAAGGTGATGTCGAAAAATGCTCGAAACCGTTTCTAGGATAATAAGGGGGAACTAAAATAACATGAAAGAGAACTCACCCCCATCAACCTCCTAGGCCCCACCAACCACAACCAAAAAAGTTTAAATTGCAAACCCCTACTTGTGATACATGATTAAAAAGACTATAAAAAAATGCTATCCAATGGTATAAATAATTGTTATACAGGGTAAAGCAATAATTCTGAATCGTTGGCCTAAATGGAAAATTTAATGAGGTTTTTGTTGATTCTGTTTTTGACCATGAATAATTATTGTTTAATAATTATACAGGGTGTTTATATCAGCCGGCTTACTATAACTTTTGTATTTGTAATGCTATCTCCCGGACTATTATTTTTAATGATAAGTGTCCGTCGAATTTTTTATTTAATAAAAACTTAATTTGTCGTTTTTACAAAACAAGTTGAAAACATCTGTTTTTGAGTTCTGTCAGATTCAATAATTTTTGGTTTATTTGAGAATTGTTTTTATCATTTGTACTATCGGTACTGTCATTCAGCTGTAGTTGTCACGATGGTTTACAGTATACCTCAACGCGTGGAGATATTTTTCATATTTGCCTTCCAGAAGCGCTCAAATAGTCCATGAAAGGTACCCAGATAAAAATTTAAGTCACGTGTACGTCCGTGATTTAGTTGAAAAGTTTAGAGAAACGGGATCAGTGCAAAATAAACAAAGGATGTCCCAAGATTACTGAATGAAGCATCCCAAATTGAGGTCCTTGGAAAGTTTGCAATAGAGCCTACTGCATCAACACGTCAAGTATCTGCAATGACAGGACTTTTACATGAGTCAGTTAAAAAAGTGTTGAAATTCTTCTTCTTCTTCAAATTCCACGCCTATCGGAGATTGGAAATCATTCTGGCAATTATAATTTTGTTGGTTACGCGCCTGAATAGTTCAATTGAACTGCATCCAAACCATTCACGGAGATTGCGTAGCCACGAGATTTTACGTCTTCCTACTCTTCTTCTGCTTTTGATTTTACCCTGTTGAAATTACATAAGTTTAATCCGTACAAAACACAAATGATTCAAGAACTAGGCGATGATGATCCAGACCGACGAATTGAGTTTTGTGAACTCATGACTGAAAGAATCCGCGTTGAACTGACAATGTTAAAAATATTTGTTTTACTGATGAATGTACTTTTATGCTGAATGGTAATGTAAATAAACAAAACTGTCGGTACTGGAGTGATGCGAACCCGCATCAATTCAATAAAGGTCACACTCAATATCCTGAAAAACTGAATGTTTGGGCAAGAATATTAGCCGATGCTATAATCGGCCCCTTGTTCATACCAGGCAATTTGTGGCGACATTTATCTCGATATACTGGAAAACACCACCAAACCTTTAATTGTGCATGAATTAAAAAACCAAAGAGACGATCAAGGCAACCTAGCTCTAGACGAAGATTTGCTGCACTTCCAACAAGATGGAGCACTTCCTCACTACGCAGCTCCAGTTAGGCACTGGTTGGATACTAATTATCCGAACAAATGGATTGGAAGGAGAGGTTCTATTGAGTGGCCACCGAGGTCACCAGACTTACCGCCACCTGACTTTTTGCTATGGGGTTACCTCAAGTCAGTTTTTTATAAAACTCAACCTGCATCACTTGGGGAATTGCGAAAAATAATTACGCAAGCATGTCGCACTATTACTCGAACAACATTTGCCAAAGTTCGTGCAGAATTTGAAAATAGGCTGTATTATTGTATAACACAACGGAACCCA